GACACTCTCGCTGCCCTCTCAGTCACCTCCACTTTAGCCTGAAGCTCCACCAGCTCGCATTCGGCCATCTCCTTCTCCTTCAGCAGCTGATGACGCTCCCTCATAAACTCACTCGCCTTCGCGATCTAGGCCTTGGCTTCGGTAGTATTCGCCAAGGCTTGGCTATGAGCACGCGCAGACTTCCTCATTGTCACGAACAAATCCATCGAGCTCTGCATACAAAGTCCATAAGAATCAGCCTTAAAACAAACGACATGCCACCAAACAAAAAATATATCATACTCACAGCGACATGAAGGAGGAAGCTCTTCTCTAGCTCTTCGGGATAGCCATCCGGACGAATGGAGTCAATCTCTTCGAGCTCCAACTGCCCCCATCAATCATGGTGTTGACGAAGGGCACAGTCTTCCGAAGATAGGCCCTAGTGACCTTCTCTTTCCCATTGGTCTCATCCATCTCCTCCTCCTCGTCATCTTTGAAGATCCCATTCAGTAGAGCGGGGACCTTCGGCTTCTTCAGTGTCGGGCCCATGTTCAACACCTCCTCAAATTGGCGCTTCCCTGCCACCTTCTCCACCATCTGTCAAAGCACCTCCGCTTCAAGCACCTTCTTCGTCACAGTCTCGATGAGTGGATCAACCAAATAACCAGCCCCCTTTTGCGAAGCTCCTTCACCTGAAGAGGGCTTGGACTTCGTTGCCCTCATTTTCCTCTTCGAGGCTCCCATCAAATACTCACAGTACGCCCTAGTCTCGTCTACCCCACCATCTCCAAAGATGGCAATTGGAATTCCTTCAACCTCGACATTTGCCAATGACTCTTCCGTATATATTGATTCTACCTCATAATCGCTCTAATATGCCATTTCCTGAATCAATGTCGTTGCACCACTTGACCAATGTTTGGCAACGACACTACTCAAATTTTGAGAATCACTCTCTGACATCTACAAATACAATAGAAGGGCAACTAAGTGCTCGTTTGGCATTGCTTATTTGGGGTGATAAGTGATTTTTAAAATTTTTTGGGAAGTCCAGCCCGGTTGGTAAACTGTGAGAAAATCACTTATTTTTAAAAATTGCTGTGAGAGAAAGCTATAAGGGAAAGCAGCTAATGAGGTGCTTTCATTTTCTGATTATGCAGGAATCAGTTTTGAATAGGCGCTGGGTTTAATGATTATGTCACAATCATTTTCTGATTATGAGGAAATCAATACCAACAACACTTTTAACAAAAAGTTTACCAAACGCCAAACTGCTTTCTCTCACAGTTGATTTCTCTCACAACAAATCTGACAGCGATTATTTTCACAGCACAGCAATGCCAAACTAGCCCTAAGTGCTTGCCACAGATCCACCCAAACGCTCCCCTAAAGTTTCCACTTCCTAAAACTCGATTTCACTAGGTGTTCATGCAAGTTCTACCTATGTTCAATCAAAAGTCAACTCGCAAAGGACATTTGATTAAAAAAAAAAAGGGCAATAAGAAGTTCGTACCTTGTTAAAATCACCGTGGAGTCTCTGCTGGAAATCGCACCGCCACAAGCTTCGCCGTTGGAAATCGCCTCATATGCTCCTTCTCAACTCACTCAAAACGCTAAGTGTTTTCCCAAAAATGCCTCCCCGCATATTTATATCACGACTGAATCCACCAATGGATCACTAATAGTCACCATAATTTTCTTCGAAGCTTGCGCCTATCACGATGCACATGTGTCACCCTTCTAGCATTTGCACGAAAGCCAAAGTGTTACCCTAACACTGGCACAAAAGCCAAAGCCGATCAGCACACCCTCAATGCTTGGTCAAACCACTAGCCGATCAGCACACCCTCAATGCTTGGTCAAACCACTAGCCGATCCCGCGGTACCCTACTGATCGGCACACCCTCAAAGGGTCAGCGTGGTAAAACCACCAGCCGATCCCACGATACCCTACAGATCGGCACACCCTCAAAGGCATAATCTATACCGAAGAGAAATATCAGCAAGTCCCCAACCAAGAAGTTCCTTCTCAATTGGCAACTTGGGGGACTCTTGTTTATACCACACATGATCAAGCCCAATTAGCCTATAAAGTGCCTTCGGCCATGAAGTACCTTCATCCCGAGAAAGGTGCTACAAGTGGCCAAAGACATGTGGCGGCCTCACAAGCCATACCACGAGTCCCACATCGAAAAACCATGCCAAGGTATCTCATACCCTTGCCTATAAATAGGATGCTTGCCCTATTACACAGGTAATGACAATTTGATCACTCAAATCATACTTGTTTACTCCACCCTTATCTGACTAAGCTTCGAAGAGCCTACGGTCGATACCACACCGGTGCAAAAGCAGTCACCTTTGTCTCCCTTTTTTTACAAGTCATTCCCTGTCTACTGAAGGTCCACGAGCGATTGAAGGCACATACATTGCTAAAGGTCCCGCTTTCAGCCATCAACCTTCATATTCTCACTCTAAGTTGGGTTCAATCGTGGCCGTCCATTTTTTAGCATCAAATATGTCGATCTAGTGTTATCGTCACACACAATAATTTATCATGTCAACCTGGTATTACCGTCACACATGATAATTTATCTTTATTTTTATATAAGTAAGACTTTGACATGTACACACATATGCATCTTTATGCTCTCAAGATATCTTTTGAATAGTTGGTTACAAATTAATTTTCATATAAAATTGCACTCTAGGACCACGGGTTGTGAACTCCCATGCTCAAAGCCAGAGTTGGGATTTCACCATTGATGTTTGCATTCCGAAAGCAATCCAATTTCACCATTTTATGTGCTGAATTTGAGAAGAAAACTTGGCTCTCCTTATGCATGATGCTTCTCCTATCCTAAAACAAACCTTACATTTTCGTACTGATCTTCTTTTTTGTCATCAACTGGATTTGTTCTTTTTTGCTTTTCTAAATTTTCGGTTGAAGGATATGCTTTTGGAGTGCAAAGGAGCAAGCCACACTACCTTAATTAGCTGACTGAATTCATGTCGTGCTCACTTTTTAAGATATTGTAAGAACATTTGGAATATTAATGGTGGTAAAAGACATTGAATGTCTTTATATCCAGGCATCACCGTTTCATTAAAGTATATCCCTATACGTAAGCAAGTTCACATGCTTGCCGACCATACGAAAGCTACAGCAAATTCCAATCTGAGAAAACCCTATATTTATCTACAGAATGGTGTTCATTACCGTACAGTGTCAAGCTCTGCATCTTCTTCTTCCAATATTCCATGCTTCTCTGCTCAAGGTTCTTTTTCTCTAGCTTCCCAATGTTCACTTTTTCTAGTAATGGAAGGAATGGTTAAGTTCCAAACAGCAAGCATGAATACAGAAGTTGCTTGATACAAAGTTACAGGGGTTACAAATATAATGATTGAAATAGTAAAAGCTTTTATTCTCCTTAATGACAACTGGGGACCTCTGGTCCCATATATACAAAAATGGTGACTCTAGATAAAGACTGAGGACACAACGTGTAACACATTTTTGCTAAATCCTATTAATACTAATTATGTGCAGTATGTCCCTCACCTTGCAACCGAATTTATCCTGCTCAATCCTGTTTAGACTAGATAATCTTTCCCTGGCCGTTTTCTTTAATCTAGAGTAGTTTAAACTGTCACATTCTTAGAAAAATTAAATCAAATTTAGTAATTAATTGAAGTATATGAATTTTTGCTTAACATAACGGGTAACACATTTTTGCTTAAGGGCTCGTTTGGTACGTCGGACTGTACTGACTAATTTATGTCGGATAGTATTAATTTGTTTCGGAGAGTATTGATTGTTTATCTATAATATTATTAGGCGTTTGGTTATATTCTGGATAAATAGTCTGACTAAGTTATACTGTGTTCGGTGCTCCGTCGGATAATAGTTGATCGAACTCCATAAGCTTGAAAATTCATATAGACTAACATGGACACTCAATCATTTGCTTCCTCTTACACCATTATTTCCTCCACAATTATAATATCTCCACTCAATATTTTTTTTTTCTTTTTTATAAACTGCTGAGTTTTCAAGAATGAAACTATATGCCTTTTGAAGCTGTGCAGTGTGTTGTCTTTCTCTGAGAGTGGATTGTGAGGTTATTAGTTGAAATTTATAGAAAATGGTAGAAACATAATTGTCAATACAAATTAAAGAGGCCCTAGAGCACTTGCAGAGGGCCATTGACTTCAAGTTAAGAAAAATTTAAAAGAAGCTGACTAAGCCCAAAACAGAACTAGTCTATTTACTATGTCCTTTATATTTTCTATTTTATTGAATATAAACAAAAAATTTCTTATAATAAGTGAATTAGTAAGACTCTACGTAGCAATTTGACAAGTTGATTAGTGGAATATATACAAATAGACCTCTTGACTTGACCCATCAAAGATATGGTCTCAAAATATGGTAGAAGACATACTTGAACAGAGGAAGCCTATGATGCCCAAAAATTCCACATGTAGTGCAAGTTGCAAAAGCGAAAGCAAGAAGTAGGTGGAAAGCTTTGGTTGGAATTGGAAAACACACTTTTAGAGCACTTTCACCCCATTGTGCCATGGCAAGGGCAAAAACTATTCATGTGAATAGTGATTGTCTTAGCAATTTTTTGATACATTCCCATCCATTACAATGACAGCCCAAAGATAACCACTATTTACATGAGATATGAGGAGAGGAATTTGTATGGATTTTGGTGTGTGAAGTGAAGAACATAGCTAGGTGTTTATAGCAAAGAGATTATGTGCTTTTTTGTTGTTGATTTTTTTGATATTTAAATTGACTGCTGACATCAGCATTACATCAACTTGCCCAAGCAAGTCTTGCCATAGACTTGCAATATTTCGTGGGTCAATTTCTTGCCATGGCAACTTTTCCTTTGTGGGGGTTGTTTTGGGAGACTAGCCCCTAAACGACATACAGCATGCCACGTGACACTCCCTCCCAAATTCAGCCGCCCAATACATTTTTTTAACACATGCAAACAAGTCAAAAACCTTTATATATTTGCTCTCACTCTGTCAAGCTAGACAGAGCTTGAAGAAGAAGAAAGAAGCTTGTTTTGTGTATCAGTCAACAATGGCGGATGAGGTTGTTCTTTTGGATTTCTGGGCAAGCATGTTTGCGATGAGGGCGAGAGTGGCGCTGGCTGAGAAGGGTGTCAAGTATGAGAACAGAGAGGAGGACTTGAGGAACAAGAGTTCATTGCTTCTGCAGATGAACCCGGTTCACAAGAAGATCCCGGTTCTCATCCACAACGGTAAACCGGTCTGTGAGTCTCTGATCATTGTGCAGTATGTTGATGAGGTTTGGAGGGACAAAGCTCCTCTGCTTCCCTCTGATCCTTACCAGAGAGCTCGGTCAAGGTTCTGGGCTGACTTCATTGATAAGAATGTAATTAGCTTGTCTAAGTTGTCTCTTGCCTTTTTTTCTATATATAAAGCTGCTACATATACATATACTGATTGCAATTCAACTCCAGAAAAATTATAGAAAATTTTGAAAATTTGAAGTTTTCCCAGGTTAAAATTTACTTATATTAGATCAAATTGAAAGGATTTACATAAATGAAAAACTGTTTTTTCAGGGGAGTTTCAATGGGTCACTCCGTTCCACACCAGACCTTGAGTTGAAACTATGGTATGCTCAATTACATGATCTTGCTTGCTATCTGGGAAGATTGTATAAAAAATAAAACGAGTCCACTTTTTAAAAATATCTTATTAATTCTGTGTGTCTGGATAAATGAGTGGAATTTTTTGAAATAGAAACTGATTAGTGTTAGAGGAGCAACAAGCCTACAACCTTGGCAAAAACAGAGTTTTAATTTTAAGTGGTGCAACAGAAATTTCTTTTGGAATGGGGACTAGAGAAAACAGTTTAATCTTGCATAATATCTAGGAGTTCATTTTGATGTAATAATGTTTGCAAAAATTGCAGCTATATGTTGCTTCGAGGAAAATATGGGGCACACAAGGAGAGGAACAAGAGGCAGGCAAGAAGGAATTTGTTGAAGCCCTTAAGCAGTTGGAAGGAGAGCTTGGAGACAAGCCTTATTTTGAGGGTGAGAGCTTTGGGTTCTTGGACATTGCTCTTATCCCATTCTACAGCTGGTTCTATGCATATGAGACTTATGGAAACTTCAGCACAGAGGCAGAGTGCCCCAAGCTGATTGAATGGGCCAAGAGGTGCATGCACCGGGAGAGCGTGTCAAAATCTCTTGCAGACCCTAAAAAGGTGTATGAGTCGCTTGTTAATTGGGTATAGAACAGGTTGCTAGCCAGCAGCAGACTCTATCAACATGGTCACCATGTTAGCAAATCCTGCAATCATATGTTAGGCTGTTCTTCTGGATCTTTTTCCTTTCAGCTTTGTTTTTCCAGTCAATAATGATATTTGCCGTCGACAATAGTAATGCAGACACTTTGATGTGTTTGCCTATTGTTATGAATAAAGTGTTCATATGTAGAAAGGGTGTTTCTGAGTTGCATTTTTTTGGCTGCTGGTTGAGCTTTGTCATAACAAGTTCACAACAATTTGATAATTTGACTACAGAACACATATGACCAGAGGCACAACAAAGTGCCTCCTCAAAGTAGAGGGGGCTTGGCAACTTGGCCAACTGCCCTTTTATTCTAATTTCAAAACAACCCTAAACAGAGGTTGAAACTTAAAAAACACAGAACAAGTACATGGATGATATCTTATTTATATGCCCATGCTTTTTCCCATCTACCCCATTCCAAGTTTACTCCGAAAGTGCAGGGCGAATTCGTAGACCCTTTTCTGGTCAGGAAGAGACTTGGACACACTCTCCTTCTGCATGCACCTCTTTGCCCATGCAATAAACTTTGGGTGCTTTGCCTCCACACTGAAGTTTCCAAATTTCTCGCGCACATAAAACCAGCAATAGGTAGGAATAAGTGCCACGTCCGCGAATCCGAGGTTCTCACCCCCAAAAGTAAGGCTTGTCTCCAAGCTCTTCTTCTAACAACCTTATGCACTCAAGGAATTCCCTCTTTGCTGCTTCCTGTTCTTCTCCTTTGGTTATCCATGTCCTCTTTCCACTCTCATATACCTGCATTTCACACCTCAGGGCCGGTCATAAGATTCAAGAGGCCCGAGGCGAACCATAAAAATGGGGCCCTCAACCCTCCATGTATTGACATTCACATGAATTTATTTTTTCCGGTAAGTACAGAAAAAAAAATCTCACTGTATCATTAATGAGAAGTGACTATTCAGATTTTTCTATATGGTGTTGCACTGTGCAATGTGTCAAGATTTGAATCAAACTTATAAACCATTGGATCAATTATATTTTAGACCTATGTAATTATTTATAATGTCACAGTTATATAACTTGGCGTTTTTCGATTGGAGTGGATTTTTACACAAATTATCTTTCAATGAACACCTAAAGAATGGACAGTTCAAATTGTGGGATACATTGTGTGGGGCACGGTCCCAATCGAGGTGTTAGAATATTGACTTACTAACTAATTAGCGCTTATTGAAACACTGAAAACACAAGCACTGATCTTATTTCCGTTTAATTATCATTCTAATAATTTACATCCTCAGTAATAGTTCCATGTATCAGAAATTTTTTAAAGTTCTAACACGTTTGTTTACAGACAGAACACCAACACAAAAATATAACCAGATAATCAAACATATTCCAAACACAAATTAGTAAAATTACCTTCTTGTCAACGAAGTCAGCCCAGAACATGGCTTGGGCTCTAAGGTAAGGATCAGAGGGCAAAAGAGGAGCCTTATCCTTCCAAACCTCGTCGATGTACTGAACCGCAATGAGAGACTCGGAGACCGGTTTGCCATTGTGAATGAGAACCGGGATCTTCTTGTGAACCGGGTTCATCTGCAGCAAGAGTGAGCTCTTGTTGGTCAAGTAGTCCTCTTCCCTGGACTCGTACTGAATGCCCTTCTCAGCCAGAGCGATTCTCACCCTCATCCCATAAGGGCTGGCCCAGTAGTCCAACAACACCACCTCATCCGCCATTGACAGATTTGAATTGCTTGATACAAAGTTACAGGGGTTACAAATATAATGAATGAAATAGTAAAAGCTTTTATTCTCCTTGATGACAACTGGGGACCTCTGGTCCCATATATACAAAAATGGTGACTGCAGAATAAGGACTGAGGACACAACCTGTAATTAATTTGCAGTATGTCCATCACCTTGCAACCGAATTGATCCTACTCAATCCTGTTTAGACTAGATAATCTTTCCCCGACCGCTTTCTTTAATCTAGAGTAGTTTAAACTGTCACATTCTTAGAAAAACTAAATCAAATTTAGTAATTAATTGAAGTATATGAATTTTTGCTTAACATAACGTGTAACACATATTTGCTTAAATGTTTTACACGTTCTCTTTTTCATAAAACTGATACTAGGAGAGGATGAATTGATCGTAAAATATGGAATACATGAGTGAATGCATTTAATCGGCTGAGCTGCAAATCACGAGGGAATCAATAAGCTATTTTCCTCCCAACAACCTAACACGTCACCATGTTAAAGATGTGGAGGAAGTAAGTGAATCAGTCATAGCTTCTTGAGCCTGCACAGGACATATCATAAATGTGGCTCCAGGGATTGGGTGTGGAATTTGTAAGGGAGATTGATGGCAAGGGCCAAGCAGCTGCATGAGCAGTGTTTGCAGCAAGCGAATAAGAAATTTCTAAAAGAAAACTACGGCTCCAGGGATTGGGTGTGGAATTTGTAGGGGAGATTGATGGCAAGGGCCAAGCAGCTGCATGAGCACTGTTTGCAGCAAGTGAATAAGAAATTTCTAAAAGAAAACTAGCTCACTGAATAAGAAATTTGATCAAGTAAAATTTCCTTACTACAACAAGAAGTCAACAACAATATGATAATTTGACTACAAAAGCAATTGACAAAGAAACATAAGACGAGAGAAAGGCACAACAAAGTGCCTCATACTGTAGAGGGCTTGGTCAAGTGCCCTTTTATTCTAATCTTAAAGAAACGAAAACAAGTTCAAACTTGAAAGACAGAACAAGTACGTGATCTAACAAACTTGCTGCCTCCCATTTACTCTATTCCAAGCTTTTTCCTCATTTCCAAAACGAAGTCATAGACCTTTTGCTGGTCAGGAATAGACTTGGACACGCTCTCCTTCTCCAGGCATCTCTTAACCCATGCAATAAACTTTGGGTGCTCTGCCTCCACACTGAAGTTGCCAAACTTCTCATAGACAGACAACCAGCTAGAAAAAGGAATGAGCGCCACGTCCACGAATCCGAAAGTCTTACCCCCAAAGTAAGGCTTGTCTCCAAGCTCACCTTCTAGCACACTAATGCACTCAAGGAACTCCTTCTTTGCTGCATCCTGTTCTTCTCCTTTGGTTGTCCACACCTTCCTCCCAATCTCATACATCTGCATTTCACATCACCAGAATCGCAGAAAGCTTAAAGGGTTAATAGGATTGTCAAAATCAAAACCAGATAATCTAATTTCAAACTTGCATTAATCCCATCTTTTCAATTGTTTCAATCCCACAACCCAAAAACAAAAAACAAAAAAATTGTTTCACTTCCAACACATTCCAAATGCAAATCAGTAAATTAGAAAAAGTTACCTTCTTGTCAACATAGTCAGCCCAGAACCTGGCATGGGCTCGGAGGTGAGGATCAGAAGGCAGCAGAGGAGCCTTATCCTTCCAAACCTCATCAATGTACTGAACCGCAATGAGGGACTCAGAGACCGCTTTGCCATTGTGAATGAGAACCGGTATCTTCTTGTGAACCGGGTTCGACTGGAGCAAGAGTGGGCTCTTGTTCCTCAAGTCCTCGTCTTTGTACTCATACTGAACGCCCTTCTCAGCCAGAGCAATTCTCAGCCTCATCCCAAAAGGGCTGGGCCAGAAATCCAACAAAACCACCTGATCCGCCATTAAAGATTGAAACTTTTGAATTGGTTGATGGAAAGTTTTTTCGAGGGTTACAAAACTTCAGCTTAGATATGAAGCTGTGGGTGGCTGTGGTGGTAGAGTGAGTCTCAGTGCGAGTACTTATGGACAAAAATTTAAGGCAGAAGAAGTAGTCAAACGACCCGGAAATGGAGACTCCTAGGCACGGCGGATGGAGATATTCTATTTCTCTTCCTTTTTGTACCTGATACGTATTCTAGATTCTTCCAATCAGATGGCATTACGTCACTGCTTTCGATATCAAAATCTTGAATTTCTTTTTTTATTTTTAATTGATGTTGATTACTTTATGGCCCCGTTTGGTTCACGGAATGAATTTGATGGGAAATCATTTCCCATGTCATTTCCCAAGGGATGGGAAATGTTGATTCCTTTCCCATGTTTGGTAATGCCGGAAAAGTGATCCGGAAATGTCACTTTATTTCCTTTCCCATGTTTGTTTTGAGTAGGAATGGAAAACAAATTGTTTAGTTTCCCAATTGTACCCCTATTAAAAAAAAAAATTACCAATAATTGTTGGATAAAAATTGTAATTATGAATTGTTAGTAAGGACAAATTAGGCAAAAAAAAATTGTATTTAATGCTAGTTTTACTTTCCCATGGGAAGGGAAAGTGAAACCCAAGGAGGAAGGAAGGATTCACTTTCCCTCCTACTTTCCCATGTGCTAGGAATCGCTTTCTCATGCCTGACTTACCAAACATGGGAAAGGAATTGATTTCCCATGCCCAAGATTCCTTTCCCATGAACCAAACGCAGCCTATATGGTTTTAAAAAATTTAGGTGGAATGCAGCTACTTCCACAGTAAAGCAAAATTTTCCCATTATCGTTCGGGAGTGATTTTAGAAACACCTCCAATATGCGTCTTCATATAATCACTTAAAATATGACATAATTATTGTCGATATTGTCAATTACTGTAGTATTGAGGGATTTAAATTTTCATCAAATGGTGAATGGAAATACCCTCACTCATAATATATACCTAATCAATTTTAGATAGACCAACTTGAACACCTAACACAAAAGCTAGAGACACCAAAAATAGATTAAAACATACTAACAAACAGTTTGTTAAATAGTTTTCAGATTTCAGTATTAAAAGTTTAGTTTATGTCCTAAAGATGTCTTGGTAGTTAAAATTTTAGGCATCTTAGCTCAATAATATATTCTTGAACTGACATAAATAAAGTATCAATTTTCTCTCAATACTGTTGATATTGTCAATTCGCTACACTAATAGTCATGTTTAAGAGCTTTGAAAAAATAAATATATCACATAAATAAATCAAAGTGTTGGAGATATGGAGAGAAATTAACTTATGGTTTTAGGTGGGTTTAAAGAGGAGGGTGAATAGAGAGTAAGATACTTTTCTAATAAGTTATTTTAGTCATTTTACATAAGAGTAAACTTTGTCATTAAATTTTTTGATTAAATGGTATATGGGAATAGCATCGCTCAAAATATATACCTAATCAATTTTAAGTAGACGAACTTGAACATGGAA